CGGTGGTTCTGAATCCACCCCGTCGACGTCCATCGTGTTAGTTAAGAATACATAAATTGATTACGAGTAACTATAGCTACTTACCAACAAATAAGTAATGAACAACACAACGCAAATTTATATAATAACAAACACAGAAGACGGCAAAGATATTAACGAAGCTCAACACAAAAATATATCCGAAAATCAACATCATGAAACACGTGTGACTACCAATCACTGACAGCAGAACCCCAATTCCAATTATGATTTTAATATAACATTAACAAATGAATGGGTGATTCAGACAATACCACCAATTCATTGTTAACTACCTACCTCTAACACAATGTTGTGCTAGACTAATACTATACTCTATAAAATTTAAATATCATGTTCCATGATTCAGCTAATATTACACAGTATTACACAGTGTAATTTTTGTGTAGTTTTTTTTTGAGTGTTAGTATGTAATAATGTCTATTTCTTTGGTGTGCTCTGTAATATAAAAGGATTGATGGACAAAAACATAATATGGGCTGTTGTTAGATTTGTCTTAGCTATGGAAGAGATAGAGTATAAAATTTTTCTCTTTTCAGTAAACTTATTTACACAGTCAGGTTGTTTCAATTACTGTTTAAACCATTGAGTTTTTTTTTTTGTAACTGTAATAGAATTTGCAATCCAACTTATGATAAGTGTTGCTGCAGTCCATGGACACTTATAGCCAACTTTAAACAAAGAAGGCTTCAGAAGAGATGTGGTGTCATCTCTAAGGACTAAGATTGAACACCTGTCATAATACTGGCTCTATAGTCTATATTCTTCAGATCTATTATACTAATTTTATATAATACAATAAAAATGCACTTAAAAGAGCACATGCGATTCGCGTCGAGAACTTCATGTTTTAGGGTTTTTTCATGGGCAATATCGTAATGATGTGAGCAGATGATTTGAGAAAATTAGGGCTTTATAAAGGTAAAGTCTTTATTGTGTGCACTACAGAGCAAAATCATAGAATTTTTAATGACAGTTTTTTAGAGTGATGACAATTCCTCCATAGCGTTTTACGAAAATATGCATCTAAGTTATCTTTCAGGTCGAATACAACCAAAAAATTATTATTATAAGCAAAAATACCATAGATTAATGATAAGTCATCGCGCGCTTTGACTAGATACCGCGCTCTGACTAGATACCGCGCTCCCTGCAAGTAACAGCTCCATGAATGCGGCATCTTAATATTGTAGTGTGTATAAGACAATTTGCATGACGCTAGTGTGCGTGAAAAATTGTATATGCCAGCAGCTTAACTATTATCCAATTAACGGGAAAAGTTATTTTATGCTATGGCTTAGTAGTTAAGTTTATAGTTATGAATGTATTCCAGAAATACTTAAAAATGAATAGTTTATTAATAACGAATGTATCAATATATTTGTGTATATTATGTATAGGCTTTTCTTCTGAATAAATGACATATAAATGATAAGGCCTCCTTTTTATCAGTTTAAATTTTTTATTTACATGTCTAACTAATATTCACAAATTATTTAAAAAAATAGTTATATATATGGTGTAATCAAAATAGTGCTTTCTATTCTACGCGTCAATATGAACAACTTTTACTATAGATCTATCTTCCAAATCGCAAGAAAAACAGGTCTTCCATACATTTTGAGCAAGTTTGTACGAAATTTTGTATGGAATAACTGACTTTGAGATATTTTTTATAGGATCAGGGTGACAAACGAGCACTTTAGCGCGGCGTTCCGAACCGTTCGAACAAAAACGAAGTTACACGAACACGATGCATATACTAATATAATTTTTATTAGAAGAAATAATCGATTTTTTCGAAAAAAAATATTTTCGAAAAAAAAAGGCCCGCTTTCCTATATATTAATAAAACTACGAGATTAGTATCGCATTAACAATTTATCAGAATAAAAATCAAATAAAATAATAAGTATAAAAAATAATCAGAACGTCAATCTTTTGGTTTCAAAACTAAACTGTGTATGTATGTACAAAACAATTTTAACATGCTTTTATTAGGTCGACCTGTATGTAACTAACTATGAAAATGAAAATAAAAATGAAAAATGTTTATTTTACAGAAAACAACTACAACTCATTGAAGTATCCGTTGGTACCCACACTAGGTAATCCTGTATCGTGGGTACCTATTTAGCATTGACTATTTATGTTTAGTTTTCGCTTGGTTTACTTAATCACAAAATTTAAATTTTAAAAACTAGTATAAAATGAACAAATTATAATAAGAGATAGAGAAAACGTTGCATTTCTTAATAATAATGGTAGTTGCCTTTATGCTAGGTGTAAGAATATTTTTTCGGTCGAGTCATAATTTAAAGAAGCGAGCCAGGAAACAATTTTTGTTTTAGCTTCTTTTACAGAGCAATGTTTTATATCGCAAGCGCTGACTACTTTATTGTAAATTGCCGAATCTATGTAGGGACTGAAACGTCTGCCAAAATACAAATTGGTTTTGGGTAAGAAGACTTTGAATACTCTTCGTTTGAGTAATTTTTTGTAGTCTTTGCATGTAATTACAGATTGATGGACTTTGAGAGCTAATTTTAAAATGTATAATTGACGCACAGAAAGGACTTTACTTTCCTGATGCAACCTATCTGTTGGATATCTAAAGGGTTTCTTTAGCATAATTTTAAGAACTGATCGTTGGGCTCTTTCTAGTTGTATAATATGTGTTTTCGCGGCACTACCCCAGGATGTTAAGCAATAAGTGATCAAGGACTGACATAGGGCAAAGTATACAGACCGGAGAATTTCTATAGATGCTGAGTGTCGGAGCAGTTTCATGATGTTAATAATTTTTCTCACTCGTCCTGAAAGAGATCTTATGTGATCTTTGAAGTTTAAATTTTGATCAATCTGTGGCATACCACCTTTAAATAAATTTAAATGTCATTATTGTATAATAAAAATAAATAAATTTTATCCATAAAATCACATCTTCAAAATTCTATATTAAGTAAATTATATTATATTATAATAAATATTTTTGTATTAATTCAGTAACTAAAACAATGTAAAATTTAATTATTAAATCTTCAGAAATTCTACTTACGAACTTCTCCGTATGAATCGTTCGCTAAATTGTTAACAATATTTTTTCTATTGAAGTACTTGTGTCCGCTTCACCGGTCAAGTGCATTAGACATTGAATTAGTAATGAGATGCATTCGCAGCGAGAGCCCGTGCCACGCTCGCCCAAAAGTTACTCCGCGAAATATTGTAAATGCAGTGTAGTGTATAAAAATATTCGCGTACTTTATGTTTAGATTATATAGTGTTGTGTATAAATATAAAAAACTGTCAGAGAATTCGTGTATTGTATAAGACTGCTGTATGTGCTATAACTGGTGTATGCAATAAACATTAACTTTATTAACTCAGTGTCTATATTATTGGAGTCCCTATATTATTATAATCTGTAAGTACAACATACAGTTATACTGGTGACCTTCCGACATTTGACAAATAAACCCTACCGGAACCATGGCAAATAAAAATTTAACGACGCCTTTGACGCAGAACGTCGAAAGTGAAAATTTCGATGACGCCACAAGTGGAGAAATTAAATCTAATGCATTTAGAGTAGGTGTTCGACCACCTCCGTTTTGGCCTGACAGACCAGCACTATGGTTCGCTCAAATAGAGGGACAATTTATTTTATCGAATATTACAAGTGACACCACAAAATTTTATTATATTGTATCCCAGCTTGATCACGAATACGCAGCTGAAGTGGAGGATGTCATTATCTACCCGCCTAGAGAAAATAAATATGAAACTCTTAAATCTGAATTGATTCGTCGACTTTCCGCATCCCAAGAACAGAAGGTAAAACAGCTTTTAATGCACGAAGAACTCGGAAGTCGCAAACCGTCACAATTTTTGCGTCATCTTATTCATCTAGCAGGTCCTAGTGTTCCCGAAAATTTTATACGCACAATTTGGTTAAGTAGACTGCCTCAAAATATGCAGGCCATTGTTGCATCAAATGCTGAGACGCCCTTAGATAAATTGTCTGAATTAGCTGACAAAATAAATGACATCTTGCCTCGAGGACACTTAAACGAAGTTTCCCCATCGACATCTTCCTGCCCACCGCAACAAATTCCTACACCCTACGCTGCTATGGAAGCAATGGCCATTCAGATCGCGGAGCTAACGAAACAAGTTTCTGTATTAACAACACAGATGAACAGGCAAAGCAGATCCTCGTCACGCAACAGGCGATTTAGGTTCCGTTCACGATCTCGGTCGCGCTCAGACAGCGGTATATGTTGGTACCACAGGAAATTCGGTGTCAAATCAACAAAATGCACAACACCCTGTAATTTTGTGTCGGGAAAAGACCAGGGCAGCCATTAGTGGCGGCGAATGACTGCCAAACTTGTAACGGTCGTCTATTCATCACAGATAGAAAAAGTAAAATTAATTACCTTATCGACACAGGTTCCGACTTATGTGTTTTTCCACGGACCATGATGAAGGGTCCATTAAAAAAGTGCAAATACGAACTTTTCGCAGCTAATGGTAGCGTCATTTCCACTTACGGCTACCTACAACTTCATTTGGACTTTGGACTTCGTCGGGATTTCACTTGGAAATTTATCGTGGCAGATGTCTCCAAAGCCATCATCGGAGTTGACTTTCTAAGTCATTACGATCTATTAGTCGACTGCCGGCATCATAGACTAATCGACGGCCTCACAAGTCTCTCTATAATAGTGCCTCACCACAAAAACGACCAAATAGAAGCCATCAAAACTGTTAATGGTAGTTCCAAGTATCACGAATTACTTCGTCAATACCCTACCATAACGAAACCGGCTGGAACGACCACAGAACCCAAACACAACACCAAACATCACATTCGCGTTAGTCCAGGACCTCCAGTAGCAGCACGACCTCTTCGTTTAGCTCCTGATAGACTCCTTATAGCTAAAAAGGAATTCGAGGAAATGTTGAAGAACGGCACAGCACGACGCTCAGAAAGCTCTTGGTCTTCAGCACTACACTTAGTGCGCAAAAAAGACGACGGCTGGAGGCCTTGTGGTGATTATCGATCGTTAAACGCACGAACCATTCCGGATCGCTACCCACTCAGAAACATTCAAGATTTTGCTCATCAGCTAGCTGGTTGTAATATATACAGCAAATTAGATCTAGTGAAGGCTTACAACCAGATTCCCGTAGTTGAGAGTGATATTGAAAAGACAGCGATCACGACTCCGTTTGGGTTGTTCGAGTTCCCATTTATGATGTTTGGCCTCAGGAACGCAGCCCAGACGTTCCAAAGATTCATAGATGAGGTACTTCAAGGACTAGATTTCACATTTGGATATCTTGACGATATATTAATATTCTCACATTCAGAAGAAGAGCACATGGAACACCTCAAGACACTTTTCCGCCGACTTGAAAAGTACGGAGTACTTATAAATACTTCTAAAAGCATACTAGGTGTCAAAGAAGTAGACTTTTTGGGTTACCACATTTCAGTGCAGGGAACTCGTCCAATGGAGACGAAGGTAGCTGCAATCAAAGACTTCCCAATACCTAAAACAACTAGAGAACTCCGAAGATTCCTCGGTATGCTAAACTATTACCGTAGGTGTTTGAAGGATGCAGCAAGTACTCAAGCTCCACTTCTTGATGCATTATGTGGCAAAAATATTAAAGACTCCAAACCTATAGTCATGACCCCCGAGATGCTGAAGGCATTCGAAGATTGTAAATCCTCACTGTCTGATGCCACCATGCTAGCACATCCAAATCCTCACGCAGGATTATCACTCTACACTGACGCATCTGATAAGGCCATAGGAGCCGTCCTACAGCAAAAAGTGAAAAACTGCTGGGAACCCCTAGCGTTTTTCTCCAGGAAACTTACGTCAGCACAGAAGAAATACAGTCCATATGACAGAGAACTACTGGCAATATACGAATCTATCAAATACTTTCGTTTTATGGTCGAAGCCAGGCATTTTACGGTGTACACCGACCACAAACCTATCACCTTTGCGTTTGTCACCAAAAGAGACAACTGTTCTCCACGCCAACACCGATACTTAAGCTTCATATCTCAATTTACCACGGATATCAAGCACGTGTCAGGCTGTGATAACACTGTTGCTGATGCGTTGTCACGAATTGAGGCTATATCTGAAATACTTAATTATGAAGATCTCGCAAACGATCAGAACTCAGATCCTGAACTGCAGAATCTAATTAACAAGGGAACAGCGCTTCGATTAGAAAAGATCAAGTCACCCGAAGCTACAATATATTGTGATGTATCTACACATACTCCGAGGCCATATATTACTCCACAATTCAGAAGACAAGTCTTCTCCCAAATGCACAACCTTAGTCATCCCGGAGCTTCAACCACAGCAAAACTCGTCTCCGAAAGATTCGTGTGGCCCGGTGTTCGTCGAGACTGCAAGGAATGGACGAAACAATGCACAGATTGCCAACGCAGCAAAATCAACCGCCATACCTCTTCACCTTACTCCACTTTCCCTACTCCATCACAACGTTTCTCCCACATCCACATGGATATAGTAGGGCCGTTACCGCTTTCTTCTTGTTACAGGTACTGTCTCACCGTCATCGACAGATATACTCGATGGCCTGAGGCCTACCCATTAGAAGAAATTACGGCGGAAACATGCGCCAAAACATTCATCAGCGGCTGGGTAGCCCGTTTCGGATGCCCACAGAAGATCACCACAGACCGGGGACGTCAGTTCGAGTCAAAATTATTCCAGGCCGTTGCATCTCTCATCGGTGCCAAAGTGACTACAACCACTTCATACCACCCGCAAAGCAACGGTATGGTAGAAAGGCTACATCGGCAGATAAAAACTGCAATTAGGTGCCACAATAACCCGCAGTGGACAGAAATCCTTCCACTAGTGCTTCTAGGTATAAGAAGCGCCTGGAAAGAGGACCTCAAAACATCAACCGCAGAATTGGTATACGGAGAACCTCTACGATTACCAGGGGAGTTCTTCGTTCCCTCACCAGACTTCACCGCTGACATCAAGGATTTTGCATCTCGCCTTCGACGGCACATGGCTAATTTAACACCTCGCCCAGCTACATGGCACGGAACTAAGACTTTCTACATCCCTAAAGATCTTCAAACGGCAGAATACGTTTTCTTGCGTCAGGGACCAGCTACACCATCATTGGAACCTCCTTATTCAGGCCCATATAAAGTCCTGGAAAGGGGCCCTAAGACCTTCAAATTAATGGTCAAAGGTACAGAAAGTACGGTTACTATCGACCGACTCAAACCTGCTTACCTTCACAGCAGTGGATCACCTGCTTATCCAGAGGAAATAACACACTCAGAAAAGGAAGCCCAGGCCCCCACAACGGATCAAAATGAAAGTACTCTGAAGAAAACAAATAGCGGCAGAGTAGTGCGCTTCCCAGATTACTATCGCCCGTGAAACGGTCTCGGCAGGGGAGTGATGTGGCATACCACCTTTAAATAAATTTAAATGTCATTATTGTATAATAAAAATAAATAAATTTTATCCATAAAATCACATCTTCAAAATTCTATATTAAGTAAATTATATTATATTATAATAAATATTTTTGTATTAATTCAGTAACTAAAACAATGTAAAATTTAATTATTAAATCTTCAGAAATTCTACTTACGAACTTCTCCGTATGAATCGTTCGCTAAATTGTTAACAATATTTTTTCTATTGAAGTACTTGTGTCCGCTTCACCGGTCAAGTGCATTAGACATTGAATTAGTAATGAGATGCATTCGCAGCGAGAGCCCGTGCCACGCTCGCCCAAAAGTTACTCCGCGAAATATTGTAAATGCAGTGTAGTGTATAAAAATATTCGCGTACTTTATGTTTAGATTATATAGTGTTGTGTATAAATATAAAAAACTGTCAGAGAATTCGTGTATTGTATAAGACTGCTGTATGTGCTATAACTGGTGTATGCAATAAACATTAACTTTATTAACTCAGTGTCTATATTATTGGAGTCCCTATATTATTATAATCTGTAAGTACAACTTGCAGTTATAATCAAGATACCTAAGTATTTTGCCACCTCAGTCTTAGTCAACACCACACAGCTACAATGTTTCCGGCCTTGTTCACAGGTGTGCAGTTTTAATTAGAGTATTGTGCTAGGTGCAGAAATTGCTGTTTCTTGAAAACAAATGTAGTTTTAAATGAGTTCAGCGTGAGAAGATTATTCCGCAGCCACACAGATACTCGTCTCATACCAACTTCAGCCTTCCCAAAAACCTCTGGCCAGGTGGATCCTTCATATATTAAAACTGTATCGTCTGCGTAACAAATTATTTCGCCTTCGACATTAGCGAATATGTCGTTTATATACATAATAAAAAGCGTAGGTCCAAGGATGCTGCCTTGTGGTACTCCAAATGAACTATGTAATGGAATCTAAGGTAAATAATTTAACCATCTTCCAAGGGTCGTAGCGTAATGAAAGGTTGGCAGCTGTATGTAGTTGTGATGACATTACAATAATATGGTACTGTCAAACTGATCTGATGATGGAGCCGGAAGATATGAACTGGAACTTTATGATGGAAAATCGTATCAAAGCTGTTTTGGATTTATTAGAAAAGTCCTGTAATGAACTTTGACCACGATTAGGTTTCAAGGTCTGGTGATGAAGTCGGAAGATAGGCGTTGGAATTCCATGATGGAATATCGTATCATAGTCGTGTTTGCACTTGTGAGAAAGGCCACGTAATGGACTTTGAACACGATCAGGTTTCAAGGTTATAACAAACCTATTATATATTGAATAGTATAAATATTGACATAGGTGACATAGGTGCCTGTATAAAATGTATATAGACAGTACCTAATTCAGCCTATAGGCATCCAGTTCCCGGCCAAGTATAGCTACAGTACGGTGGAAAGGCTCATGCTCCCAGTGATTTTAAGTTGGGCATCTAGCGTGCACAAGATGCAAGGCTGTACGGTAGACTACTTCTACTACTTTAAAAAATACTAGAAAAACACGCTTTTATAAATGCACGTAAAAACAAAAAACGCATTTATAAAAGCGTGTTTTTCTAGCATTTTTTAAACTAATAATTTATTTAACCTATAATTAAACAATAAAAAACTAAAAATAATTACTGCTACTATATACATGTCATTTAACAATTTATTAGTACCAAAATAAAAAAAAACGATAAGTTTAGAAAACGATAGTTTTTTTTTAAAGAGAGTTTGAACAAACAAAAAATCTAAATATCATTATTGCCACAAATGTTCAGTACCATTGACATTGGATTAGAATGAAAATAAAATAAAACTATAAGTTTAAATAACCAAACGACAACCTTTTGGTCTTAAAACTAATATACAAAATAAATATTTTTTTAAACTTTAAGTTTAAACAAAAAAAACTATAAATAATTATTGTCACTATCTACACTATAATTTACATTGGACTAGAATGAAAATAAAATAAAAATATAATCTATACATATAATATACATATAATGAATCTGTAGAAAAGTCGTGTCTGTAATTATAATATGAAAATATTATAATTACAGAGACGACTTTCCAACAGTGCCCTTTATTTAGTCTCCTGGAAAAACAATTCCAGGAGACTAAATAAAGGGCATTGAGGACAAATTAGTGGTTTATAGAATTTTTATCTGCCTGTCTGTCTGTCTGTGTATTACCGTTTAACGCAAAAACTACTGGACAGATTTTCATGAAATTTTGTGTGTAGATAGTTAGGGACCCGGGGCAACTTATAGGTTACTTTTTATCCGATTATGGATCATCAAAAAAGAGGGTTAAGTATTTTCCTTCCTCAAGAGGTTAATTTCTATTTTATATTATTAATCATTGAAGTTTTTTTTAAATAAGTAACATATTTCTAAATCAAGCCTAAAATGAGTTTTAACCGAAGCGTTATAATTTTAAATATGCCGAAAATCTAAATTACACTTTATCAAAGCAGTACCATCTAACGGAAAATCCCAAAAGTAGTAACATTTTACCTCCAGTTACTAATAAATAAAATAAAATATTATATAACTTACATTAATATGTTTATTCATTTAATTCATAATTATTTGAAAATTCTAACGTTCATTTTTCAGTTCTTTCCTTATTTCGTTTTAGTATGAATTAATGAAGTTTATAGTAACTAATTACTACTTATATAGTAGATAATAGAGACATTATCGAAATTCATAAAATTTGAGATGTTTCTAAGTGTGATTTCTAATCTATAAAAAGTTTTGATTATCTATAAATAAACTAATAAAATTGTAATTATTGCAAAACTCTCACTATCCATATAGTTTAAGTAAAGAGATTTTTATTTATTTATTAGCCAGATCTTAGAAGTAATAATATCATAAAGTAGTTAATTATAGCATGAAATGGTGGCATTTAATTAAATTTAACATTGTTTTTGATTATATCATGATATAGCCTGACCAAATCAATGAATAGAGATCGTTTGGCGATAGTAACAACTAAACACAACATTGCTATTTTTTCATATTGTTATATCGTAAAATAATTTCATTACACACCGCTAGCAGCGCTGATAGCGTATTTTTGACAGAACCAGAATTTTTAATAGAATATAATTTATTCCTAATTTATGCATTATATACTTAAATGTTGGCGGCTTTGTTGTGTGAGACGGAACCCCACTCGCACCTCAACTTATCGTCGCTGAGTACTATAGGGTACAGTTTTTGTTTTTATAATTCTGATCTCATAATATCGCCATCTACCTACTGCCAAATAAACTAATAATAAGTGATGAAATTAATGAGAATTCTATTGAATACTTTTTTCCTCCAGCATCAAAAATTGTCAGACTTAAAATATCCAAACCGGTGTCGGGATGATTTATCGTTATTGTCAAAATGATTAACAGAACTGTGTACACAAAACTGTGATTATGACAGAATGTCTTTAGTTGAATATGTTGGGTGTCTATCATCAGCATAGCAATATTTCACTAACTTTTTTTGTATCAAAACCAATAATTGAAAATTAAGTGGAATGTAAGATTTTCATATATAAATGATGGAATAGTTTGATTGACTAATTACAATGTAGATGGGGTCCACAATAGTGCAAAAGCTTATTTTCAGTGTTTATGAGTTTACTTAAGCAAATGCGAGAGCTGTGTAGCCCGCCGTAAGATTTCAAAGCACAGGAACAAAAAAGTTCGATTCCCGCGAGGCCCAATGAAACTACTACTACTACCTACCTATTGAGATTTTTGTTACAGTCCCGGTTTCATAGCTGACATGAGTAAATGAACAGGCTCTTGCAAAAAGTAATATAAATATCAAAGACAGCAAATTTTAAACGCATGTTTATTTTAATTTTAACTATGAGTAAAACTACATTGACAGAATCTTGAAAGTTTTCCGGTAATCGAACCGATCGTAAGCAACCCAATTTCGATCCGCACCGACACCAATCATATTTTAATTTCAATTTGAAGTTTCGATTTACCACGTTCTCGGTGTTGAAGCAAAATATCGCGAGAAAACCTACATATTAGAGAAGTTATAAAAAATATTTCGGAATAAATTTTTAGGTATACTTATGTCAAGCCAGTCAACACGCGTTGTAGTCAACTCAACCTAATCAACTCTTTTTTGTCCAGTAGTGGGATGTATGTAGGCTGCTACTTTTTTACTTTTAATAGGCCTATCCACTGTTAATCATAGGTTTCTCCCATTGTTTGTCAAATAGGCCGGATATTTGCAGTAGTAACCACGCTTGGCGAGTGGGTTGGCAACCGCAGCTTTTTATTACTCTGCACTGTTATCAGGAAGATGCTGCCATCCATCTCCTGTTTCAGTTTCCCTTCTGTCGCCTCTTACGACACCCACAAGACGAAATGTTGCTAATATATTTCTACTCCCGTTCATCGTATCGATTCCCTCCATAGATTACGAAATAAGTTGGATATTATCCGTTGTTGCCACGCTTGGCAGGCGGGTTGCCAACTGCATCTTTTTATTATTTTGAGATGTAATCAGAACGACGCTGCTGCCCATCTTCTCTATATTTCTACTCCCGTTCATAAATATAGTCCCTGTCACACGTTTATCATGAATACTAAATTGAAGCCAACGCGAGCGAAGCCGCGGGTAAAAAGCTGGTTATAAATAATCAAACGACAACCTGCTGGTCTCAAATCTAAAATACAAGACAAATCTTTTTTTAAACTTGTGTTAACAAAAAAGTAAAAAAAATATATTGCCATGAATTTTCAGTTAAAGAGATTAAAAACAATATTTTTACCAATATTCTTCTTCGTCTGTTTTGTAAAATACAGTTTCATTTTTTCCTGATAATATTTACCGTTTTCGAAAATAATTTTTCGGCTGGCGCGGAACTGAGCATCACAAAGAGGTGTTTAAGAGCCAATTGGGTTA